GTCGGTCTGTAAAATATGGTCTTTATTTTTCTGCGTCATGGCCAGGAGCACCATTTTCGATTTTACATAAATTTTTTTGGACGATAGTTTTTTGTGCGCTTCATATTTCTCAATACAGTTATTTAATTGTGCATTATAAATATGATGCTCTTACAGAAATAATAGATAATATAAGTATTTGTCTGCCACATAGTTTAGTGTGTATCAAATTATTTATTGCTTGGACACAAAATACGTAAGTTTTTTATTTTGATTATTCAGTGAAATAAATACTTGTATATATAAAATTAAAAATTGAAATCTAATTTTTATATTTATGAAAATTTCGAAATTTTTAAAATTTAGATTACTTATTTTTATTTATTAAGTTTTGATGCCTGAAATTCGTCGACATAAATTAATAATAATAATATATTTTTTGTTTGCAAAAAATCAAATTTTTATATTTTATACTTTCTTTATAAAAACTATTGTAATAAATTGATGAATTTGTATTAATTAGAAGATTATGTATCAACTAAAATAAAATCTATATATAAAGTTGATTGAATTATTAATCATATATGTTTATACAAATTATTTTTATTATTAATAATAATTTATAATCAATTATCAAAATTGAAATATGATAAAATTAGAAAAAGTTATTAAACTAGATAATTATTGGAAATTGGTATAAAATATAAATTTAGATTGAATTAAGTTATTATTTATAATGATTTAAAATAAATAATACAATAATAAATAATATAATATAAATATCATTAAAAAAATTGTATTCGAAATACAATATTTCACAGTTTGATTCGTAGTATTCTATTATCTATGGAAGAAGAATGTCAAAAATATGCAATAATGGATACAGATAATTTAATATCGAAGACAGCTTATTTATCTTATCGTTTGACGAGTATTATAATGTGTACTTGTGTAGCATCTACTGTTTGTTATGCAATTGGTATTTTTTCGCATCAAGAAGTTAATATAACTAAATCTCAAAAATTATTATTAAAAATGGATTTACCTTTTGATACTAATAAATCGCCCATTTACGAGTTTGTAATAATTATACAATATTTTTATCAAGTATCAGCAGCTTTTGTGTTTGGTGTATTTGCCGCGTTTCTTTTAATGATAGTAAGTATTAATAATAAGCTATTTTAGATTTCTTTTATTGAGATATATTATTCTGAAGAGAAATTTTTTTGTTAAGAGATTAGCTTAAAATATACACATATATTTTATAATAATATATAAATAAATAAATCTATATATATATATTATTTATATAATATATAAATAT